AACAGCAAATGTACAACGTTTGGACAAGGTTTTGTCATCATCAGGTACAAAACCTTGTCCAAACGTTGTACATTTGCTGTTGTATTAAAGTTTTTCTTCATTACCCATTCAAGCCGTCTCCAGCCATTATTAGACTTTATACCAAATTTTACAAATAAATATGTTTTGTTGTGAAAAGCTTAACAATAGTCAGTTTGTTTCTGTAGCAAAATTTGAGTCAGCCATTACCCAGTGGTTAGTGTGTTGGACCCCATATCAGTAGGTCCAAGATTCGAGCCTTTGTGGTATTTTCAGGCTTGCTGATAAGGGCGATAACCGCAAATAACTGGAAAACAACAGTAAATGTATTATAGAATTATAATTGAAATGTTGGCTTGAATCAGTTTAAGAAAAGAAACTGGATACAAAGTTAAACAAAGTAAACTTAATCTGTACTTAAAGTAGAACAATAAGTCAAAATAGACTTAGACAAAGCAGACGACGGAAAGAAAGGTTTTAATTATTTCGGAAGAGAGTCGTTTAGATTGAAGAAGTATGACGTTATATACCAAAACAATGGCGTCATCCTCTCAGGGCGCATGCACTACCCAAGATACTGTTGAACATATAGACAATACCCAACCATTTACTAAACTTAATCACGGTGACACAGCTTAAAAAAAGGCAGATACAAACAGCTTCAAAATTTGGTCTCCAGTAACAAAATAGCCACGTGAGACACTCATTGACCATGTGAAACTAACAAATGACAACTGTTGCTATGAGACTTAGTGAAAGACAAATGGACAGACTTGCAAAGTGCGACAAACACTAGACTGTGTATCGGTAACACATTCATAGATAGTTTGTTAAGACCTGATTACTTCCAAATGTACTATATAAAGAACATTAAAAATACTGTCAAAAGGCAGCTGACAATCAATTTGAAAACCACTTATCTGAGATACCGACAGGAAAGTACATATTCATTGGTGTTTAGGATGAAATCCATGGAAAATGAATGATTGAAGGTGTGAGATATGTCATGAAGAGCCACATTTCACATATTCCTCTATAATAAAGACGTTCATATTTTATCCGTGAACTGTCAGTGAAGAAGACTTGAATAACTTTTATTTAAAATGTACCGGTTTATTACCTATCTCAAGTAAAATGGCGTTTTTCAGTATTCCTTGGTATATATCTTGTCAAAATTGGCCTTTCACTTTGTCAGAAACGTCAGGAAGTCATTGAACGTGGTATTGTTTGGATCGTCTCTTATTTCTTTTTGAAGGTAGTGCACTTGCGGTGTGGGTGCTCAACCATACTGTTCAAATCCGTGGTAAGAAAAAAAAATGAAATACGTTATGTGCTATAAAAATATTTACAAAGAAACTATTATTTCTTCATTAATATGGAATAGCATATTGTCCTTTGTTGTCACTGGTCACCCCGTTGCTGAAGGGCTTCTTTCTGGCTAATGGTCAAGTGAATTCATTCTTGACAGGAACTCTGAGCTTCTCTGCAGGTGGATTTTTTTCTGACAAGTTATTCTCTGGAGTTACCCAGTTGGCCTTTCTCGTACCAATATACTTCCAAACACAATCACAGTGGATGAACTGCCTTTCATCGAAATACCTACTTAACTTTGTAGTTTCTCTTCTTTTAACCAGTTTAACTGTTCAGCCATACCAAGTTACCTTAAAGAAATCCAATTTTCCCAGCATTTACACCATAACCACCTTTCGTTTTATCCCAAGCTGAGTTAAGTCTTACCAGAGTGAAGTCATGTATCAATTTTCCATCTTCATAAACACGAGATCTTCCAACCACCAATTTCTCAGAACATTCCAGAATAGTTGGTTCCACTACTATCAAAGCACTAAATGTATAATTTCTTCTAATAACTCCTGGTTTGAGTATTTCACTTCTTGGTGGTGCAATGACCACCATCTCTGTCCCACTGGAAATCCAATCTCCAGTGTGGTAATTGCCATGTTATTTCCTGGTTATGGACTGTGGGGTTATCCGAAGCTAGCTTAACATCGCATCCATGTCTCCATATGAAATAATCACTCAATATGCACGTTTCCTCAATGTTTAATTACTTATACTGCACTTTTTCTCAATGTTAATTACCCATACATCGTGAGGTACAGAGAAGCTTCTTACAGAAAGAGTAACTTAGAACTTCCCTTTTGCTGGAACTTTATATTCACCTCTTGTTTGCATTAATTCCTCTTGTTTCTTCATCTCTCGAGATAATTTCCCATCTTTCAGTAGCAAATCGGGTCAAACAATTGAAGCTGTAGAAATAGTGTTAATCAGGGTACTGCAAAGTTTTCCATCAATAAACCCATGGAGTTGTGGGCGATTTTCCTCAAATAATGAAATGCTTTGTTTCATATGGGATAGATTGAATATTCCCTTCTGAATTTAGCCCTATAAGTCCAGCTTGTTCCTGTCTTTTTTTATGTCTGATTAACTCCATGTTGTTCTTTTTATCTAATTGGGCTCAAAGGCACATCTGCAGGGTAATGTCTCTTTGGTTTAATAACAACTATTGATTCCCTACAATCTTGACTGTAATAGCCACATTTCCCACAGTTATGTAGCCCCTCTTTCTACTTTCTAGTATCTCTGGGAGGATTTATTCTGCCTCTGACATTCCTTTCTACCTCATTGGTGCTCTTTTTATTTTGTTGATGTCTTTCTTTATTTCACTTTTGACTTTGTTAATTTTGTCATAAGTCTTGCTGTGCTTCTTCAATTTTGTCATCACAGACTCTCTGTACTTTTTTATCGTCCTTCTGCGTTTTTTTCTAACTTGTTGTAATCTTTCTGCATATCCCGATGACTTTTTTCATATTAATTTTCGACTTTAATTCTAGTAAGTTTCTTATAATTCCTCTCTTAAATCCATTTCATTTACATATTGGTTTTCCTTTAATTTTCTGTAAATTTCTTCTTGATTTTCTTCTTAATTACTACCTTTTTCTTCCAATTTTCTGTCTCGTTTAAGATCTTGTTTCAATAATTTCATCATCTCAAGTAACACTTTAATCTCATTACTTCACCTCATGGCCGCTATCTTCAACAATTATTAGTTTTATTTCAAGTATAATCAAAGATTTATTTTATTTTATCTAAAATAATCTTACTTCTTATACCGTTAGGCCTGGCATGACCTGGTGATTAAGGCACTTGACTCGCAATCTGAGGGTCGCAGGTTCGAATTCCTGTCACCGAACATGCTCGTCCTTTCAGCCGTGAGATCGTTATAATATATAGAGATGTGTAATTCAGCATTTCATCTATCACAACAAAACCTTGCCAAAATATAAAAATGACAAAATATAACATATTGTTACGTCTCCGTTTGTTAATTAATTTTCCGTAACTTCGTTCC